TTATCTCACTAGATATGCAATGGTGTGGATGTTCTTGGAACATGAAAAAACTTAATATTAATATGAATAAATATCAATAAGAAATTCATCAGGTGAAATAGAAGGTAGTTAGGTTAAATCAAATAGAGACTATTTGAATTACACAAATGTCCCTGCCTTTTTATACCATTGTTTTTCTCTATTATCACTGACAATAAAGAGTTACTCTGTTTAGAAATGAGAGTCAGACAGATATACAATCACACACACATACACACACACATACATACATACACACATACACAAACAGAACAAATCAACTCACACTCTAACTTTGGGTAAAATATAAAAAAATTCAGGGAGATTTGTGGGAGGAGAAGACTTATGTTCTAACCCAAAGACTACAAATAAAAAGTCCAGGTTCTATGAAAGAAAAATTTCTTAACGATCCCTTTCTTAACAACCTTCTCTTCAGTAGTAACAATGTGAAACAGACAAGATTTTGTTTAGGCTTACCATCAGAACTCAGCTTTACTTCAGAGACAACCATTTCTGATACAGCAAGTTGAGTGCCATCAAAATGGGCTGTCTTACTGATTTGTTCTATGACCTTAGGATTCCCGCTGAATCCCCTATGTGTCTTTGCTCCCGGTCACCCTGTCTGATTGTAAAGCCTCATCTTGAATTTAGGATAACAAAATCCTAGTGAATTTTCTCCTAAGTTCTCTTGTCCTCACTTCTGACTTTCCCCAGTCCAAATTCTCTTGTCCATTAGATTTAAAATCCTAGACCCACCCTTGCTTTTTATCTCCTTTTCTGTGTCTTCTCTGCTTGACCTTTACCTCTATCTGGTAGGTGTGCCTAGGCAGGTTTTTTTTGTTTGTTTTTTGTTGTGTGTTTTTAAAAAATTTTACATAATTAATATTGACTCTGACTGAAAAACTTGGCTTTTTAACTCTGGTATTCTGACGATAAAAGACATTAATCTCTCTACAACCGCTTTCAGATCTACCCAGATCCTGAATTTCACTTTCTACCAGTAAGAATGTCAAGACCATTTTCCAAGTATCAGTGGAACTGACTGTCTCTAGTCCTCTAATAAATTCTCTCCTCTTTACCTTTTTATTATTTAAATATTAAATCCATTTCAACTTGGAAACTATTTTATAATTTTCTGTTCTAGCACACTTCTAAGTGCATTATAACTATAGTAGAAGATACTAAGTTTAAAAACGAATATGCAAGTGAATTTAGGCCAAGCTATTACAAGAACTCAGCTGAGGACACATGCTTTGCGGGAGTCTGTATTGCCCTATCTCAAAAAGGAAAAAAAAAGACTAGCTTGGTTTGTGTTTAGCTCCCTTTCAAAGGAATTTTATGGGTGGTGTGGTTTCAAGACTTTTACATCTTATTATTTATGATTAGCACTGAGAGTAAACTTAGAGCTGAATTTTTCTTCTTTCTTCTGTGTAGGGTTTCTTCAATTTTAAGACTGGTCTTTTCTTTTTCTTGATAAAGTACCTAGGTTATCTAGGTGCTAGTTATAAGGCAGGGGCTATGATGATAAAAGGAGAAGAGAGACAAAGAAGGTCACTATAGATATTTTTATCTTACATAAAATTGGAATACAGCTTCCTTTCTGAGTTTAGCCTCAGTCATCACATTCACTTCCCCATGGTATTACGGGTACTGTGAGGTATCAATTATGTCTGAAGATACCACAAGCCTTATGGGCTTATGTGATTTTTAGTGGATATCCTGTTGGCCACTCCAAGAAGATGCATACCCCATAACAGCAAAAAGTTGCTAACTTTTTAATGTATTATCATGCATCATTTTCTTGTTTCAATTGGCTTATATTCCTAGTTTTTTTTGGTAACAGATCATTTCTTATATTTCTATATGTTCTCCTTAGTGCCTCAAGCCCAACAACCTGCACATAGAATTTATTATTTTAATTAACCGTGTTTATATTAAAATCAAATAGAGGCTTATATCTTTTAAGTACATTAGATCAAATGATGAAAATCCGACTGTCTAGCAAACTTCAAATTTACAACATATGGCTCAGCTAGACCTATGACACAGGAGGCAGAGACTATCAAGCCAAATAATCTTGGATGTGGTATTTTGCACATTTCGGCACTTTTCTTGTCCAAATATACACTACAGATATACATTAAATTACAAGGAACTCTTACATCTGGAATACTTAATTCTGGAAATGCAGAGATATTCTCCTTTTAATACTTTGGAAAGATTAGAAGTGGGATAACATTCTCTTCTAGGACCACATGCTTTGGATACTCTTCTACTGATAACTAATAATTACAAGTACCTGCTGACATCAGTATAGTAAAGATCACTAGAAAGAATGAAGCCAGTATAGCATATTCTCTTCTCTGATTCATACCTTTTTAATATACACGAAGAAGATATGCTTATAGAGAATGAGATCTGTTCTTGAAGAAGAAAAAAGAGATAACTTTGAGAGTTTGATGGGCACTGTCACTAAGCCCTGTGACTTTGAACACAGTCTGACATAAACATTTTGTTCTGTATTTGGAGTTTGGGGGCAATGCTTTGTACTGCTCAGGGCTTACTTTTGGCTCTGTCCTCAAGGGTCATTTCTGGTCATGCTTGGGGGAACACATGCAGTATCCAACCCAAACTTTCCTTGTGCAAGCAAATGCTTTAGCCCCTGGTATATATCTCCAGCACCTGACATCAACATTTTAACAAGAATTCTATCTACAGTGAGGAACCCATTAACTCCTTGATCAATTTTCTTTACATTGCAATCCTGTCAATCATCTTCATTCCATTCAAATTATTTTTATTGAAACCAATTAGATTGCATTTACATTTTGAAGAAGATTTAATTAACGAGGATGTTTTAATGTTCATATTAAACTTTGCCAACTGGAGCTTCTGCTCTTTTCATTTTTCTTTTATGATCATTATTTGCATCAAGTCCATATGGTGCAGATGGATGTTTGTGAGGCAGAGAAGCTCACGTAAAGAGAAAGGAGAGGAGCAGGAAGTAACTGATGAAAGCAGCAAACAGAAAGAAAGTATGCAACCTTATTAGAATTTTGACTTCAATAGACATACAGAGAAAAGTCAGAATATCCCTGGACTTTATTTTAAGGAGAAAGAAGGTCTAGGGGAAATGATGAGAATAGCACTGAAGTTAGGGAATGGTTCCTAGACAAGAATGCTGAAATTTGTTCCAGGGAGTGTCTAGGACATTTTAGTTTGGCTGACAATGTGGAAAGGACTTCTGCACAGTTGCACAAGAAGTACTTCTTTTTGGTACTGTTTTTGCTACAGTGGTAGTTTCACAGAATTCTGGGGAGGTGGCAATGCCTTATGTAAAAAAAGTCTTTTATAGTAATAATATAGCCAATAACTATACCTTATTAGTATTCAGACTGATAAAAGAAATGGCAAGTAAAATGCTGGTATGTTACCAAATGATGTAGTATTTTCTACCACCGTATATTTGGAGTAAGAAGGAAAAAGTTTAGAGTATGAATGCCCTCAATGAACACCGAAAACGCTAGTTTTATTAAATCTCAACCCTTGAGTGCCTATCTTTTTTAATACTCTATGAGACTAAATGGAAAGTATATAGAAAACATTAGTGTTGCATACTAATTGTGATTGCTATTCTGAGGAAAAGTGTACAAATGGTTTTGTTTCAGAAGCAAGCTGACCAACCGCTTTTCCAAGGAATGTTCTTCGTTTGGAGAGGGGAAAGGTGCAGAATGGCAGGCACATTGTAGTTGCCAAAACTTCATTATATGATAGATAATTTCTCAAAAATGGGAGAAGCAAAGCTGTTTCTTCATGGAAAACAAATTGACCATTTCATGGGTGGTGACAAAATTTGTGCTTTTAAGAGAAAATTAGGATTCTTGGAACACTCTATCATCTTGACAGCTTCCCAATACTTAGAAGCATTTCTTATGAGAATGGTGTCATATTAACAAGTGTAAATGTGTATGTTAAAATTTGTCAACATTTGGAAGATTTGCATAACCTCACATTTCCTATTTAATGAATGTGTGATCCTGCAAGTTACACACAAACACACACACAATCTATTTAATATCCAAGACAGATCAATACTAATATAACAGCATAAAAAGTTTATTGAAATGTCTTAGAGTTAAAATTTATCTTTAATAAAGAAGCTATTACTTCTGTACTACAGTGTAGTACCAAGGAAACATCACAATTATATGATCATTTTTTCCTTTTAAAAACAACCCTTTCTTTCCCAAACACATATGTTTATGAGGCTGGGTTTTCTTCATAAATTCTACAAAAGTACTATATTGTAACAGATCCCACATGGAAGGAAATTTAAGATACACGATGAAGTGTAAGATATATACAAAAGGTATTTGCCAGTCTAGCAGTCAAACAATTCTGCTATTTTCTTATAATTTTCAAGGGGTCATCATTTCTCATAAAATATATGGTACATAAATTTATATACAAACTGTTGAATACAAAAATTAAAATTCTACTATTGAAGAGTATTTTTTAAAATGTCAAGCTGCGATTTCTTTTGCCACATTAACTTTGAATTAAGAAACTTCAACAGATGCAACTCAAAATACACTAGCACTCTTTGGGCTCATCAATTTTAACAAGCAATGGAGTCTTGAGACCAGAAAGTTTGAGCACTGCTGCTTTCCCATGATGGATATTTTGTGGAACAGCATTTCTCACAGTGCTTTCTCCAAAACACTAATTTCATGAACCAATTAATAATGACGGGTCCCCACTCTAGAACAGGCTTGATATTTCTGGAAAATCATACCATAAGCAACTCTTGGAGAGTTAACTAAAGTTTGTTAGAGGCTAAAAGCAGTAGAGTAGTTCTGTATCCGTAGTTAAGTCCATGCTTCCTTGTGCTTTCTTAGGATGTTTCTGAGTACAGAACACACGGGCCACCTACTCTCAGAAAAGTCAGAGGCATTGGCACAGCAGCAACTGCCATAACTCACCTTCCAGTCGGACCACCAGGGGCACTTTCAGTTCAAGCTCCCGGCAAGCTTTGGTGATCCCATTGGCAATGATGGCACAGTTGACGATTCCACCAAAAATATTGACAAGGATGGCTTCAACCTGAAATTGAAAATGGCAGGGTGCCTATCAAAATGCTGATAGTCAAAGTTCTTAATAATAAATTACAAAATGGACAACAAAAACAATACTTTCTCCCCTTTTAAATACAGATTATAAAATATAAAATGAAAATATTATGAAAGCTAAAATTTAGTACTGATTTAGTAAATATCAACATAAATTATTGTATTAAACTAGCAGTCACTTATTTGAACTCAAAACTAATTCAGTCTCTACCACTTTTTAAAACTATACTCTCCGACATCTGGGGAACATAAAGTAACAAAATAGGAGACTAACACCCAAGAATGGCCGAGATTAGTACCTCCATCCAACTCCATGGCTTGGAGGCCAGTCACACATGCTAGGGGAAAAGGCAGCTCAGATAGAGAAGGGAACACCAAATAAAAGGTGTTGGGAAGCTCCTTCCAGGATGGGAGAAGCATGCTGAAAGTAGACTGTAGACCAAACATGATTGCCATCCATTGCCTCTTTAGCAAACCACAACACCCAATAGGAGAAAGAGAACAAAAGGGAATGCCCTGCCACAGAGGCAGGGCGGGGAGGAGTGGGGGTGGGTGGGTGGGAGGGATACTGGGATTCGTGGTGGTGGGAAATGGGCACTGTTGGAGGGATGGATATTTGATCATTGTATAATTGAAATCCAAGCACAAAAATTTGTAAGTCTACAACTGTACCTCTTGGTGTCTCACTAATAAAAATTAAAAAAAAAAAACAAAACAATCTCAGGAAAAAAATAAAAAAAAGTAAAACTATACTCTCTTCTGGGTTTTCCAATATTGTTGTCTGGAACTATTCTTTTATGAGTAGAGTGGTTTTTAAAATTTTATAAAATTATGTCCTTTATGAAGACTGGATGGCAGGACCCTATTTTTTCATGGAAGACCCAACTTAGTAGTGGCAATGAGGCTGGAAGAAGATTTTTAAAATAAGTTATGGGGAGTTAATTTCCCATTCCATATCCTGTAAGACCCACACCTTCATCACAGACTCATACTGAACTCTCACCAGTGCAGCCTAACTACACCTAAAATATTAAGCCAAGACCCACTAGTCCCTAATACAATCAACATTCTTCCCAAACTCACAAAGATAATGGTGAGCATAAGAAACTATAACTCAATCTAAAAGTAACAGCATAGGCACAGAACACGTTCACAAGAGACCCCGCCAAAGGTACACAGGGACACCAAAGAGAAAGAGATCACCACCTACGGGGCTCCCCCAGATACTCCCTGGCAGTGAGGGGGGGGTCACTGATAGTGAACTGGAAGGAACCACTTCAAGACTACCACAGGCACCATGGGAAAAAAACACAGCACTCCCCACCGCCTCCCCCTCCCCATCACAGGGAGTAGATGAAGTAAGAGCCTGAAACCTCAACAAGGAATACCCACATACATAATCTCTCTGATAAAGAATTCTGAGATGAAATGGTGAGGATGTTTAATGGGCCCAAAGAAACAGTGAATCAGATATCCAATAAAATACAGGAGGATATGAGAGAACCAGTCGAATGAATAGTCAATAAAATACTGGAGGAAAGGAGAGCAGAAATAAAAAAAAATGAAAAACAAATATCGTTAATTAAAAATTGGGTAGATGAAATGAAAAACTGAATGGGTGACTTCAACAGTCGAGTAACAATAGTTAAAAAGAGAATCAGTGAACTTGAAGATGAGCTTGAGAAAACATTCAGGTAATAACAGACAATGGCAAAAGATCTCAAAATCGCTCAAGCAGGCAAAAGAACTATGGGAAGAATTCAAGCAGAACAACATAAGAATCATGAAGTCCCAGAAGGACAGGAGGCAACCCCCATGAGGTAGTAAAAGTTAAAGACATCATTGCTGAAAATTTCCCGAAGATATAGAATGTAGGCATCCAGAGCCAAGAAGCCCAAAGGGTACCAGCTAAAAGAGATACTAATATAAAAACTCAAAGACATATCCCAATCAGAATGATGAATACCACAGATAGAGACACAATACCAGAAGCATCAAGATCAAAGAAGGATATTATAGAAAAAAACCATCCTTAGATTGACAGCCGACTTATCAGATGAATATACCCGAGTAAAAAGACAGTGCTGGGATATAGTGCAAAAAACTGAATGAAATAAAGCTTCACCAAGAATACTTCCCGGCTAGACTCTCATTAGATTTAAAGGAATGATACACAATTTCATGGATAAAAAACAGCTCAGGAACTGCATAGACCTAAAACCAACTTTAAAAGAAGGACAGAAGGGGCAAGACAAAAATCACAAACACAATCGAACAACTTCTTCACAAAGGCCAGGGTGGCGATACTAGTATCTGATGACATAGATTTCAGACGGAAATGGGTTAGAAGTGACAGCAAAGGCCATTTTGTAATAATAAAGGGATATATGTACATCAGGAAGAAATTATTCCTAAATATTTATTCACCCAATGAGGGACAGCAAAATTGCTAACAGACTTCAATGAGAAAAATGGTAGCAACACAACAGCAGTTGGAGACTTCAACAGACTTGTCATCTCTTGATAGATCAACAAGACTAATACTCAGCAAGGAATACTAGCTTTGAAGAAATAAATGGAAGGGGGCTAGTAGAGAAATATAGGATTTTTTATCTGCCAAAACCCGAATACACATTATTCTTCAGTGCACATGCTACATTCTCCAAGATAGAGCATATACTGGGCCTTAAAACATACCTCCCTAAAATCAAGAAGATAGAAATGATATCAACTATCTTTTTTGACCATGATGCACTGAACAGAGATGTTAATCATACACAGAACCAGAAAATCAGATCAAACACCTGGAAATTAAACAGTTCATTACTGAACAACCCATGGGTTAGAGACAAAATCAATGAGGAAATAAAAAAATTCCTGGAAACAAATGAAGAGGATATGAGCTACTTGAAATTGTAGGATTCAGAAAAAGCAGTGTGACGAGGAAAGTTTATAGCTCCACAAGTATACATTAGAAAGAACGAAAGGGCTTACATAAATAACTTGGCTTCCCAGTTAAGATCTTGAAAAATGACCAATAAAAGAAGCCTAAAAAGTCAGGAGGAAGGAAATAATAAAACTTAGAGCAGAAATTAATGATCTGGAATCCCCCACCCCAAATACAAAAGATCAGCGAAACCAAGAGTTAGTTCTTTGAGAAAATAAACAAGATTGAAAAACAGAGAGAGAGAGGGAGAGGGAGAGGGAGAGGGAGAGAGAGAGAGAGAGAGAGAGAGAGAGAGAGAGAGAGAGAGAGAGAGAGAGAGAGAGAGAATCAGAAATGAAAAAAGGGACATCACAACAGAAACCACAGAAATTCAAAGATTGTCTGCCCCAAGACAAAAGTCCTGGTCCAGATGGATTCATTAGTAAATTCTTCTAAACATTTATAGAGGACTCACTGCCAATCATTTTCAAGCTTTTCCAGGAAACTGAAGAAACAGAACCACTCCCAAACAATTTCTATGAGGGAAATATCACCCTAATACACAAAGCAGACAGAAACAGCACATACACACACACACACACACACACACACACACACACACACACAGAAAATTAAGGGCCAATATCCCTGATGAATATAGATATAAAGATCCTCAACAAAATACTAGCAAATAGAATCAAACAACTTATCAAAAAGATCATACACCACAACCAAGTAGGATTTATCTCAAGTGTGTAAGAATGGTTTCACATTCATAAGCCAATAAACAAAATTCATCATATCAATAAAAGAAAAAATAAAAACTACATGATCATATCAATAGATGCAGAGAATGCATTTGAAAAGATCCAGGGCCCATTCATGATAAAATCTTTCAACAAAATGTGAGTTGAAGGAACTTTCTTCGTTATAGTCAAAGCCATTTACCACAAGCTTACAGCAAGCATTATCCTCAATGGGAAAAAATCTTAAGGCCTTCCTTCTTCTAAGATGTCACATGAAAAGATTGCCCACTCTTGCCATGCGTGTTCAGTATAGTACTGGAATTACTTGCCACAGTAATTAGGCAAGAAAAGTATATCAAAGGCATCCAGATAGGCAAGAAAGAAGTCAAGGTTTCACTATTTTCAGATGACATGATATTAAATTTTTAGAAAATCCCAAAGACTTCATGAAAAGGATCCTAGAAATAAGAGATTTGTATAGCAAAGTGGCTGGATATACAAAGCAATACCCCAAATCTATGGCTTTCTTTATATACAAATAATTAAAGAGAAGAGATATTAAAGGAAAATATCCCTTACAATTGTGTCTCAGAAAATCAAGTACGTTGGAATCAGCTTAAGTAAAGAGGTGAAGAACCTGTACCAAAAAGAAAAACAAAAAGGAAAACAAAAACAAAAAAACCCCTACAAAACACTACTTTCAGGACCTGAAAGAGGACAAGAGAAAATGGAGTTACATAACCTGCTCATGGCTTGGAAGGATTAACATTGTCAAAATGTTCCCCCAAAACACTATACAAATTTAATACAGTCCCTATAATGATATTCATATATTTTTCAAAGAAATAAATGAAACACTCCTGAAATTCATATGGAACAATAACTCTTCACGAATATCTAAAGCAATTTTTGCTAAAAAGAAGATAGGCAATATCACCTTTCCCAAATTCAAATTGTACTGCGAAGCCATAGTAATTAAAAAAACATTGTGCTGGAATAAAGACAGACCAGTAGACCAGTGGAAGAGAGCTGAATATCCAGACACATACCCTCAAATACATGATCATTTAATCTTTGAGAAAGGAGCAAGAAATATGAAGTGGAGCAAGGAAACCCTCTTCAACAAGAGGTGTTGGGAAAACTGGGCAGCTACATGTAAAAAAAATAAATTTGTACCTTTTTCTAATGTCATGCACAAAAGTCAGATTGAAGTGGAATAAAGACCTCAATATTAGATTTAAATCCACAAGGTTCATGAAGGAAAATGTAGGCAGAATCCTCAATGACACTGAAGTTAAAGGA